TTTAGTTAACCAATTTATTCCTGTGATGCAAAGCTGAATTTAAATAAAATCGAACCTGTCAAAATGATCATTATTAAAGGATTAGTTCACCCCGAAAATGAAAATTCTGTCATTAATTACTCACCCTCGTTTTGTTCGAAACCCGTAAGACCTTCGTTCATCTTCGGAACACAATTTAAGATATTTTTGATTAAATCTGAGGGCTCTCTAACCCTCCCACAGACAGCAAGGTAACTACCACGTTCAAGGTCCAGAAAAGTACCAAGATGATCGACAAAGTAGTCCGTGTGACATCAGTGGTTCAACTGTAAAGCTACGAAGCTACAAGAATACTTTTTGCGCAAAGAAAACAAAAATAACGACTTTATTCCACATTTTCGTCTCTACTGCGTCACTTTGGATGCGCGTTCACGAGCGTGTGGCGGCGCTGACCCAGATCCGGCATGATGACGTCATTCTGGACCTTGAACGTGGTAGTTACCTTGCTGTCTATGGGAGGGTCAGAGAGCCCTCAGGTTTCATCAAACATATCTTAAATTGTGTTCCGAAGATGAACGAAGGTCTTACGGGTTTCGAACAAAACGAGGGTGAGTAATTAATGACAGAATTTTCATTTTTGGCAAGTACCTTGTCTGGTTTAGGCCTGTCATGGATAACCGCCAGTAGGTGGCGGCAAGTCCCTGTCTTAATGACTGATTAATTGAATCATTCATTTGAGCGATTCATTCAAAACAGTTGATTAACTTAGAAACGAAGCAAGCGACTGTATTTATGAATGGATAATTGAATCATTGACTCAGATGATTTGTTCAAAACAGATTCATCCAGAAAGGAAACACTGCAGTGTTGGTCTGAGTCACAAATATTTGTTTGGAACTATCTTTGTTCTACAAAAAAAAACAGACATTAATGTTTCTAAAAATGTAAGTCACTCAATATTAAACTGTTGGTTGTTTAACTTGTATAAAATTAATATTTTAATTGTTGTATAAAATTATTTTTTATATAAATATGAAAAACAAAAACCTCTAAAGGTATTTT